TGTAGGGACTTAAAGTTCAACATATCAATACTTGATGAAAAATACTTGTTCCATGTTATGCCTAAGATGTTTGATATTCAGACAGATAGTGAGGTTGAGCTTAACAGTTTCAGTTGCATGGTAATTACAATAAGCTTGTCTTCTGGATGGTTAGCAACCTAAGTTTGCAGACCAAATTAGAGAAAAAGGAGGGCCTCAAGGAAAGCCAACATTTTGGCCCTAGCCTTCTAAGGTCAATTAAGACTCAGGACAAGGGGCCGGGGAGATGGCTTAGTGGAATAAGCGCTTCCCTGGCAAGCACATGGACCTGAGTTCAATCCCCGGTTCCACCACAAAAAGACTCAGGACATATGAGAACTTGTTCTGTAACGTCATGTAACTCGAGAGTGTCCCAAATTTTCTGATCAAGGAGATTTCACAGAGAGCACATTGGCCAAGCAATGGCCATGACTCATCCACATGGCTAACAACTGACAAAGGTTCTACATCTGAGGTACAGGATCTCAGGATAAATCCTGAGGGGATTTCACTGACCTTATCAGACCCAAAAGCTACAACTCTTGTTGCATAGGTCCTGCTTTACCTTGGTCTTAACCACCCAGCAGAAAAGTATAAAAACAAAATATAAGAAGTAAAGCCATGCTGTTATGTTGAGCTGTAGGGGACTCAGGTCAACGATTTCTGACATTGTCAGGCAAGCGGAAGACCCAATACTATTATGGGCTACTGGACTCTTTTAGAATATTTTGCTGATTTTATAAACCTATAATATTCATATAACGGAACTTAATAAAAAAAGGGGATACATATGAATGCCCATTTTGTATCTGTGTATTCAAAGTGGTTAGGATAGATATATATAGTTACATTCTCTTAATGAATAGAGGGATTTGTTCTTATGGTGTTTGTCAATAGGATATCATGTCCACATCTTGTACAGCAGTTAACCACTAGGAAGAATGTATGCAATGTGTTAATTATTGAAACTCACCTACCAGTTTGGTTTGAAACTGTCTCATTGCTATTTGTTTCTCAATAAAATTATGGGGAAAAAAGAATACATAAATACAGTAAAGGATAAAACCACAGGGTCAGGTAGATGACTCAGTAGAATAAG